TCTTCACTTTAACGACAACTTGTTAATTTCTACGGGCCCTAACAGGGACAAAATACATAAAATTAGACCTGTTATAGAAACTCTAAAAAAAAGATTTAGTAGTATCCCTATAGAAGAAAACTTGGCAGTTGACGAACAAATTTGTAGCACTAAAGCAAGAAGTTCACTTAAAGTTTATATGCCAAATAAACCACATAAATGGGGGTATAAATTTTTTGTACTGAGTGGTGCTTCAGGATTTGCATACAATTTGGAGTTCTGTACTGGTCAGGAGAATAATTCTGAACTTAGAAAAATAAGTGAACCAGACTTAGGTGCCAGTGCCAATGTTGTTGTGCGCCTTTCAAGAGTAATACCTATAAATCTGAGACACAAATTATTTTTTGACAACTATTATACCACATTACCACTACTAGTTTATCTAAAAAAAAGAAACATTCTATCTTTAGGAACTGTTAGGAGAAATAGATTAAAAAATGTTATGTTGCCTGATGATTCCTTACTAATGAAAAAGCCAAGAGGTACGACTGCTCATTGTGTGTCAAAGGTCAGAGGTATTGATATTGTTGCTGTTACATGGAAAGACACAAAAATTGTTAGTTTGCTATCAACATTTGCTGCTGTAGATCCGGTAGTCAAARTTAGTAGGTTTGATAGAAAACAAAAAAAAAGGGTAGAAGTTGATTGTCCAAACATAATAAAAGTATATAATAGGCATATGGGTGGCGTTGACTTATTAGATGGGTTGCTTGGGCGCCATAAWATAAAAATGAGAAGTAGAAAATGGTATATGAGAGTTTTTCATCATTTATTGGATGTTACCATAGTAAACTCATGGCTTCTCCATAAAAGAATTCAAAAACAAAAACAAGACACAAATGTTATGTCATTAGTACATTTTAGAGAACAGCTAGKTTTATCTCTTTGTAAAATTGGTACTTCTATAACTCCAAAACGTGGCCGTCCAACTAATGATGTACAAGAAGGTATAATTAAAAAAGGTAAAATGGGCACTAAAATAGGACAACATGCTCCACCTAAAGAGGTAAGGACTGATAGAACAGATCACTGGCCAGTTGAAAATGAAAAAAGGACAAGATGTAAGAACCCAGGTTGTAAAGGCAATACTTTTATGATGTGCAATAAATGTCAAGTAAACTTATGTTGTGGCAAAGGATTGGCTTGTTTCACTAAATGGCATACAACATAAATACATTTTCATCATTTTAAGAATTATTTAATTTTATAATAACTAGTTTTTTATTTTTATAAATAATATTGACAAGTCAGTCAATAATTTTTAAGTTTTTACTTTTGACTTTTTTTTAACATTACTCTTATTTGTTATTTTATTATATTTTACTATTTTTAAAATCTATATAGTATATATATATATTGTTTTGTGTTTGATAAGTTGGTCAATTTATGTTATAGTTTTCTAAATTTGTTAGAAAAAAAAAAAAATGGTATAATTTCATAGAGTGTATAACAGTGACTGGCCTGAGATTTTTTTAATCATTATTATTCATAATAATGTAATATATTATTATTTAAACTTAATGTATTTTTTCTTTTTGTTATTGACATGTCAAGCAAAATTTGTTTTAGGTACATCTGGCTTATAAAAAACGAATAATAGAATTCATAGGATGTATCATGTATGGTACTATGGAATTCCTAAATATAATAAATATTATTGTATAATGTAAATGCATAGTGTTACTCAGAAGTAACAAAGTACAAATTAGTGGATTTTGGGAGTAAAAATCCAAATTTGATTTTTTAAATATTTTTCATACTATCTTTAGGATACATAAATAAAWAAAAAATTAAGAAAAAAATCAAAAAAAAAATCATGCATTGTAGGGTTAATATTACTCGTGTTATTGTGATATTTAAATTATTGTGATGGGGAAGTATGCGAAGTACACAAAAAAATACAACCCAGATTGGGAAAAATCTGAAATTTTTTCCGGTAAATATTAATAATTACGAAATATTAGTTTTATTTTGCTTATTTTTAGTGCTTAGTGCTTACCTAATTATATTTTAAAGGATGGCTTCAGCAAGCTCCAGAGGCATTTTCTGGTAGGGGAGAAGCATTTTGTAAACTTTGTCGGGTACCATTAACAGGTTGACTGCCATGCTAAAAATTTGTAACCTGCTATAATTGCTTTGCGGGATCTAATAACCCTATAGTATACTTTTACCATTGGGCTTTGTGGGGTCTTTGAACTCAAAAGATTAAAATCATTTTTAGGCCTCGTAGGGTTATGAAAACCGTCAAAATATACACTTTCGTACGAAAACATATTTTGTCATGGCCTCCTGGGCTATTCTGTTTAATGGTTTTGAGATTAAAATATTTCTTATGAATCTAAATCTATTTTTAATTTAACGACGTATTTTTCCAATGAATGTGCGTATACGGGTAATATACGTATAATGATAAGCTAGTTTTATTTTTATTATTATACTATTTTATGTTATTACTTAATCGTGTTCTATCGCTCAGTGTACTGTTAACGGCGTTGTTATTTCTACATTGTACGGTAACGACAACAATATATTATTAACTGTTACAATATAAGTATTGAATGTAATTAATAATTATTAATTACAACYATTTATTCAAGAAATGGAAGAAATAATTGAAAATTGGTTAAATGACAGTGATGCGRAACTTATAAGCGACAGTGATGAGGAAGTAAATACTTACAAATATTTTTATTTTGGTACTTTTTAACAAAACAAATTTATTTTACTTATAAATAGGAAGTTGATGATTCAGACAAAGATCCTGATTGGAATGATGGTGAAAATTACGAAGATATCGGTGAAGAGATTGAAGTTGAACATTTTGAAAACGAAAGAGCTGCAGTTGAAAATAACATTCAAAATGAAACTACAACACTAACTTGGGGACCAGTTATAGGGTAATCTTAATAATATACAATATAATCCTCATAATTTGGAAGTTGGTATAAATTCAGACATTAAGGAAACAATGACGGATTGTTTGCCCATTGATTTTTATGGTTTATTTCTTGATGAAGAAATTTTAAACTTTTTAATAATAGAAACAAACCGATATGCCKCGCAATCTCTTCGTAATCGTAAATTGAAGGCATATTCTCGATTAAAAAAATGGAACCCGATTGATCGTACAGAAATGAGGAATTTTCTGGGCCTTGTTATGTGGATGGGATTGGTAAATATGCCCAGTTTAGTTGATTATTGGCGGAAAGATATATTGTATGCGAATAAAGTTACTGAAGTAATGAGTAGAAATAGATTTGAGTTAATTTTAAGTATGTTTCATTGCTCGAACAACGAAAAACCAGAACATGGAAGGTTAGATAAGATACAAAAATTGGTGGACTTWTTAGTATTTAATTTTCAAAAATGGTATATACCTGAAGAGGTCTTATGCATCGATGAAAGTGTTGTACCATTTATAGGAAGACTTATTTTTCGACAATATTTAAAAAATAAAACACATCGTTAMGGCATTAAAATTTTTAAGCTTTGTGCAAAAGATTTCTACACGTTACAGTACAATATTTATGCGGGAAAAGAAGCGATTCGTGAAACTAATGTTTCACACAAAATAGTTTTTTTTAAACCTTATTTAAATTTTGGAAGATGTTTATTCATTGATAATTGGTATTCTAGTGTAGAGTTGGCCGAAAAACTTAACTGTGAAAATACTCATGTGGTCGGAACTTTAAGAGCTAACCGACGTTGTAATCCACGTGATGTAATAAGTAAAAAATTAAAAAAGGAGAACTTTTCGCTCAGCAAAGTAATTATAATATTGTTGTCATGAAATGGCGAGATAAACGTGTTATATACTTAATTACAACTAAACACACTGATGAAACCGTAGAAATACGACGAAGAACTGGAGAATATAATAAAAAAACCTCTTGCGGTGGAAGATTATAACGTTGGAAAATCTTTTATAGATCGTTCAGACCAAATGGCATCTTATTCAAGTCCCTTAAAAAGGTCAATAAAATGGTACATAAAAGTAGCGTTTGATATACTTTTGTCAACTTCTGTTGTGAATGCTCTTTCACTTTACAAATCTGTTACTATGAAGAACATCACTATTACAAGATTTAAAGAAGAAATTATTAAACCACTTTTATTCAAACCTACTGTACCAGCTCTACCAGTAACTCCTACCTCTCATAAACTTATATCTTGTGGCAATTTAAAAAAAAGGATGTGTCAAAAATGCTATTCAAGGTTGTCATCTGAATTTGGAAGGAAAGTGGCACAAAATAAAACAAGGAAAATATTAACACGCTGTGAAGGATGTAACATTTTTATGTGCAGGGATTGTTTTATTAAATTCCATAAAAGTTCTTTGTAAATTATAGAAATATGTTGTTGCCCATAATTAACAAAAAATACATTATAATTATTTATGTGTAATTTTATTTTACTTTTATCTATTATAATAAAGATAACAAGATGTTGTAATATAAATTTATTTTATGATAACCTTGTAAAAAATATAGTAAGTCGAAAAAATTAGTTTATAAAGACTATCTATTGTCTTGTACCTAGGGTTTTTTCACCCCACATGTGTCATAGAGGCCTCGTAGGGTTCAGTGACCCTACTTGATTTTATTAAGTAATTGGATTCTACTAAGTGAGATAATGATATAATGTTATTAGGTATTTTTTTTTTAAATTCATTTTTTTAAGGTCAAATTGGAAATGTTTGTTAGACAATACAAGACAAATTTCCGTTAAACGATATGTAAAGGTAAATGACGGGTCAATAGACCCCCCACGGCAGTCAACCTGTTAAGAGCGCACAAAACAGATCTAATTAAACACTCAAACACAAATACTCATAAGCACAGGGCTAATAGTATAAATATTACATAACAACCGGCTTTATCATCATTTGGTAAGTTGAACTTAAATTTAAAAAAAGTAGCTTTTTGAAAAGTAACGGTTATTGTAATTTAGGAATTATAGTCAAGTCTGATACAGAAAAAATTAGAGATCTTAAATTAGCAATGCACATAGCTACACATTCTGCCATTAGAACAATCAATCATCTCGATGAACTTTTAAAACATTTGGGTGGACCATTTAATACACTTGAACTACATCGAACTAAATGTTCAAAATTAATTCTAAATGTTATTGCCCCAGCATATTTAAAATAACTTATCGATGACATTGGTTTAAAACCATATTTCATAATYCTTGATGAATCAACAGATATTAGTATACACAAGTATATGGCTTTTTGTGTAAGATATCATAGTGTTGCACTTTGTGATATGGTTACTGACTTTCTTGGATTTGTGGAGATTGAAAAAGCTACTGCTGAAGTCTTACGAGATGTATTTTTAGATTTTTTATTGCAATCCAAATTAGAAGTAAAAAATTTAATTGGTATTGGCACAGACGGCGCAAGTAATCTTTGTGGTAAAAACAAATCATTGTTTACATTACTAAAAGAAATAGTACCAAACGTTCAGTTAATTAAATGTATTTCCCATTCTCTCAACATTTGTTCTACCCATGCATGTGAAGAACTACCTAGTAGTTTGGAATTTCTGGTTCGAGAGACAAGGAATTGGTTCTCCCACAGTTCTTTGAGACAGTTGATGTACAAAAGTTTATTCGAAGCTTTATATGATGGAAAGAGTCCACCTAAGTTGCCTCAACTATCAACCACTCGTTGGTTGGCCTGGTATAGTTGCATAAAAAGTATACTAGAAACTCACTTCAATATTATAGCTCAAAACAAAGAAAGTTGTTATACGTCTAGAACATTAAATGACATGCTTAAAGATGATACCCATTTTTTATATTTAATGTTTTTAAAACCAATTTTATTTGAAGTAACACAAGTAAATATAGTTTTTCAAAGTACAAATGTAGATATTTCTACAAGAAATATTTACGTTTGCAATCTTTCAAGAGATCGATTACAAAAAAAAACAAGAGAGTGTGTGTCTCGGCGTGTACGTTTCTCGGAGGTCGATCAACGAGAGAGAGTCCGGCGGCGGTCGGTACTCATCCGGCGCGACTTGTCTTCCCGTCCCACCTAGCTTTTCCGGCGTGGAGGGAGAGTCGACGGTGTCGCGTCGTTGTCACCCGTGGTGGTGGTTGATAAAGTCGTAGATCGGTCGCGGCGGTGCCTGTACTTTGTACTGGCTGCTGCTGCGTACCGTGTCAGCATATAACTTTGTAAGAAAAGAGTTTAATACAATAATTCCCCATCCAAGAACTTTGAGTAAATGGTATTCCCACACAAAAGCTGAACCAGGATTTACTAAAGAAACAATAAAAATTTTAACCCTTAGAGCAAAAAACTCTGATCATACTATTTATTGTGGTTTAATCATTGATGAAATTTCAATCAGACATCAAGTTGAATGGGACGGCAATAAATATTATGGATATGTGAATTTTGATGCTGGCTTCAATAATGATAAGTCTGATATTGCTACCGAGTGTTTTGTTTTCATGCTATTTGCAATCAATGAATCATGGAAAATACCTGTGGGATACTTCTTGTGGAATCACTTGAATAGTTCACAGAAATCAGAATTGACTCAACAATGTTTAAACCTTATAAACAAGACTGGCATAAAAGTGGTTAGTTTAACTTTTGATGGATGTGTATCAAATATTAACATGAAAAAACTTTTAGGTTGCAATTTAGACCCCCAYTCCATTTAAAACTATTTTTGAATATAAATTAACTKATTCATTAACACAAAATATTGCAATATTTCCTGACCCTGCGCATATGATTAAGTTGGTTAGAAATACTTTGGGTGAAAAAAAAATTATTATAGACGGTGATAACAACAATATTAAATTTTATTATCTTGAAAAATTGTTAATACAACAAGAATCTGAAGGCTTGCATTTAGCAAATAAATTTAAAAAACCACATATGAAAGTCAAACTAGCTACACAATTACTAAGCAAATCTGTCGCAGATGCATTAGAGTTCTGTAAAAATGTTATATGTCTGKACGATTTCCAGTCATGTGAACCTACAATTAAGTTTATTAGAATATTTAACGATGCATTTGATATATTTAATTCCAGAAATTTAAATGGTTATCGTAAAAAAGATTTTATGATTTTTAAAACACATTTTTATGAGTATGTTTTAAATTTAAAATTTTCCTGTGGGACCTCGGTGTTAAGTTCTAATAGAAAAACCGGATTCTTAGGATTTATGATTTGTTTTGAATATTTATTTTTTTTTACATAATGAACTAATTGTCACTAGTTGTTTGAAATTCGTACCATGCTACAAAATAAGTCAGGACCATATTGAACTGTTTTTTGGAGCCATTAGATCTCACCAAGGACACGACAACAATCTAACTGCTCGTCAGTTCAAAGCTGCTTATCATAAATTGTTAATTCATGCAGAGATAAAACAAGGAGGTGTTGGTAATTGTATACCTTTGGAGGATGTAGATATTCTCATTAGTTCTAGTGTTTGTCAAAAAGATCTTGAAAATATTATCAATGAAACAAATATAAATTATTTTTCTTTGGGTATCAGGAATTCCTTTAACCTGTAACAATATATCAATATTTTATTGAAATGAATAATATATTATAGCTATAAAAGCATCAAGCAAACAGCAAACTTTTGATACTTTTTCTATGTTGCTTTTATACCTCGATGTACAAAAGACAACACAACACTTCACCATATTAATTAACACAGTTAAACAGTTTAAAACTTAAATAAAATAGTTAAGACATAACAATCACTCGGCTAATGACTATGAAAACTATGATACTAGGGGGCCAAGAGCTACTAGCGCTCGTAGTTCACAATCACGCCGCATGGCCGGATATTACAGTGGAGATAGATATGCCGTTTCACAACCTGAGTAGATAACCGTGGTGGTACCGCAGCAGCGTGGCCATTAGAGACGCAGTTAATTTATCATGTAGATCCATAGAGTAATACAGAGATGCCATATCGTATCTCGGCAATAGAACAGTTGTGAAGACAAATGTTAGGTCATTCAACCYAATTGTGTGTCACTTTACAACCATATTTCAGCTAGATCGCGTTATTCACGGCTTCGCTTGATTGATAATACATGTAATAAACTGAAAAGTATAAAACTATACTAATTTTGAATAATATTGTAATTTTGTCTTTTTCGTGATAATTACTTCAAAATAAAGTTAATTTCAAGGAAAAATAATATTTCTGTTTTATACTACTTGACGATAGTTTTTGCTGCCATCAGCCCCGTCACAAGTCACAACTACCATGGGCACTGCTATTGGGGTGCTCCGGTGTTCGAAAGCATCCTATAGTTATTTTCATAGGGTGCTCCGCACCCACGGATTAATATACTAATTAGCATAGGCGCGCGCACAGGGTATGCAGGGCATGCCACTGCATAGTCTGCGGCTTTATGTGAGGGGCCCATACATAATATACCAAAGCATTTTTGATAATATTGATACGGAGCGTTGAACTCCAACGTTCCACGTCGTGAAATAAACAACAAACTGCGAGTATTGGTGATCACATTAATCTATTGCTATATCGATTAATAATATTTTTACAATGTTGGGGCAAGAAAGCGTCGATGTGCACCACCCAGACTTGATAAGTGAGGTGGCACAGTCAGTGGTGCTTGTGGCGAATCGGGCACAGGCCACACTCTATTTACAATTGTGGCGGTCCTGGACGGATACCACAAATATGCGTGCGGTGGATAGGTTTTACACAAAAATAAAAAACACTTTTTGTTTAAAGTCGCAGAAGTGCGGTGGTGTATGTTTTATTGTAATATTGTCGGTAGCAAAAACAAGTCACAGAGACAATAAGACGAGATAATAATATTAAGTATGTTGAGAGCAAACAAAGTGAACACACTAGTGTCGAGAGACGGTACGCGCGAGGACGGTGATGGTGCGGTAGTTGTCACTCAAAACGCGGCCGTGGAACTGACTTACTACAAGCCGGTTCGCGGTACCGGCGGTCGACATTTCCAGGCGCGCTTATCGCGTGTCGGTGTCGGCCGTCGTCGATTGGCGGTTGACAGAGAGAATAGACGGCGCGGGTTTCCGCGCAAAGGCCGTTTGAATTCAAACGACTATTACGCGGGACCGTGTCACAATGTCGKGTATGTTAAGTTTTTTACACGATGCACAGTGGGGCTAATGACATCATTAGCTGGCAAAAATATCTTTTATCGAATCGAATTATCTTATCATATCATTATATGTAATTGGTAGAGGAGTTCATTTGCCATCTAAAACTAGTTTAATGCATGTGTCAATGCTTAAATTTACTTAGTTTCGACAATCGTAAAGTTAGTCCCGGTAGTGCATCATTGAAATTTTACAATATAAACCAAATATTAAAAACTGAACTTTTGTTATTGTAACTTTGTGACTTTAATGTGCACAAACTTCAAACAATTATGGAGTTWCAAGCAACAGGTTTGTTATATTATGTTAATCTCATAATTATTTTTGTTTTTATATTGGATATGTAAATTACATTAAAACTT